TGTTTCTTTCTCCCCACAATTCCCACACAGCCCAGTCTCATGTATTCCAGTTATGAACAGTGAAGCGCTCAATCCAGAGTGTCCAAGTCTCATCCTAGTTATAATAACCTCTTCTTTTCTATTTCTACCACTTACACTTCTTTTAGTATTAACCTTTTTTTTATATTATATAAATGCCTTCCCTTATTATCTGTATTCCTTATGTCCTGCCATTCTTTAACAATATTTTCCTTAATGATCATTTTAATTTCACATTTACTTAAAGGAACATTAAAATCTATTACTTCTCTTTTTAAAGCATTTTTTGCTAATTCATCAGCAGATTCATTACCAGCCATGTGCTGGCACCCAGCAGAATCCAACTACCACTCCTTTTCTTTGTATATGCCATAATAATGTTAATATTTCACACATCAAATCTTCTCTAGAAGATTGCTTCTGTGTTAGCATCACTGATTACTCGGCAGAGTCAGAGCATACCACTACTCTGTCTGGTCTTACTTCCTCTACCCATGTTAGTCCTATTATGATAGCAACCATTTCAACAGTATATATTGACAATTTAGATGTTAATCTTTTAGTTATGGATATTTTAAAATCTGGAATATATACAGTATTCCTACTCCTGTAAGCCCTGTTTTGGGGTCTTTAGATCCATCAGAATAAATGTGCATACTTGCATAAAATCTTTCCTGTATATACTTATTATATTTAATACTACCAATTTCCTCCCATTCTCTTTTCTTATCCAATATCTCTAGATCAATTTTAACATCAGGAATTATCCATGTTGGTACCTCTGCCCATACAGGTGACACACTACATTCTAAATTTGTTATCTGATATTTCTCTGCTAACTGATTTATATTCCATCCATATCCTCTCCCTTTGTTATTTGAGTATTCCCAGCAATTATTTAAAATATCTTTAGCTATATGTTTTCCAGAATAACTCTTTAAAGACAACCAATATACCAAAGACAATTGAACTCTCCTCAAGCTCAATGGCATTTCATTTGCCTCTACTAATAACGCATTGATTGGTGTTGTTTTAGTTGCTCCTAAGCATATTCTAAGAGCTCTATACTGTATCCTATCTAGACTCCTTAATAATGTTTCTGATGCTGAACAATAAATCATGCATCCGTAATCTATTATAGATCTTATCAAAGCTTGATATATTGTTAACATTGATTCTTTTTCAGCACCCCATTCTTTTCCAGCTATTGCCCTCATCACATTTAAAATCCTCCTGCATTTTTTATCTATTTCCTCAACATGCTTTTTCCAGGTATATCTCGCATCTAACCAAATTCCTAGATACTTAAAAACCTTTACTTGCTCTAAAGGTTTTCCATACAATAGTAGTTCAATATCTTTAGAAACTTCTTTTTTCCTACTGACCACCATATAACATGATTTATTTGTTGACATTTTAAAACTCCATTCTATACTCCATTTTTCCACCTTTTTAATAGCTGTTTGCATACTTGAAATCACTTGGGATACATTTCGACCTCTCTTCCAAATAGCACCATCATCAGCATATAACGCACATCCCACACCATATCCTAAATTGTCAAAAATATCATTAATCATAATGTTAAAAAGAATTGGACTTATTACACTCCCTTGTGGAATACCATTTTCTGCCTTAAAAACTGATGACTGACACGCTCCTACTTGCACTATAAATGTTCGTTCAAATAAAAACGTAAAAGATTCAGATAATCAAACCAATTTTAATATTGCGCAAAGATAATGCAAGTAAATACAAAATGCAGTTTTTATTTCATTTATTAAGGGAAAAAAGCTGTCCAAACCTACCTGGCCCCACGTGAAAAATTAATTGCCCCTCCTCTTAAATCATGAAAGAACTGCAATTAACCACATTATTTTAGAAAGCTGAGTTAAATTTCACTAGCCACACGCAGGCCTTATTACTGCCAGACCTGTTGAATCAAGAAATCACTTAAATTAGAACCTGTCTGACAAAGTGAAGCATGCTTAAAGAGCAACACATCATGCCGTGATCTAAAGAAATTCAAGAACAGATGAAAAACAAAATAGTTGACGTGTATCAGTCTGGAAAGGGTTATGAAGCTATTTCTAAGGCTTTGGGACTCCAGCGAACCACGGTTAGAGCTATTATCCACAAATTGAGAAAACTTGGAACAATGGTGAACCTTCCCAGGAGTTGCCGGCCAACTAAAATTACTCCAAGAGCACAACGACGACTCATCCAGGAGGTCATAAAAGAACCCAGAACAACATCTAAAGAACTGCAGGC